CATCAAGAAGTCGTCTCCACGAATAAACCGTCCATGGATTCGAACCTGAATCAGAAACCAATCGTTCTAACCAATCGATTGATGGGTTATACATTTTGGGGGGCCCTCTCTCTGTATGCGCTAGTATTTTTTGTTTTTATACATGTCTTTAGGTTGAGCGATGTATTAGAGAGTAAGGTAGAACATAGTATATATCAGAAAGTCGCTTAAACAATAACTGCTACCTTTACGAGCTACCATAGTTGGTAGGCGGAGTCGAGAGCCGAGTTGTGCCCAGTCAAAATCAGCTGATATTGAACACGTGACTGCTGTGATGAGTCACCAGCGTTCACGCGGTTTATCAATCGATATGCCAACATCCGGAGCGATAAAGCCGACACGAGAGAACCGGACCCGGCCATGAGAAAAAGATGCTGACCGGCCGTTGAGGGAATCGAAAGGGTGAGAGTTAGAGTGAGAAAAGAAAGGAGGAGAAAGAGGGTTTGTTGAGCGTTCTTTTGATAACAGTGAAATTGCTTCTATAATTACTCGGTCCCCTTTAAACGTTGTTCGAGAGTAAAATGACATCGATGAAGACTTCAAGTCACGTACACCTGACATCGTGAAATGCGCTCAGATTTTTTCGTTATTTTCCGTGATTTTGAAGTCGTCATATATATTGTTATACGAATGGTCTTGCTTTTAAAATTTGCAAGCGAAAAAAAAAAAAAAAAAGACAGTCAACCAAGCTTCATAAAAAAAAAGGAAAAAAATGTTGAGTGAACGTTGCAACAAAACCAATTCTTATAACAGTAAAAGAGTTAAGACAAATCAATACTAATAAGATTTTTAAATGTAAAACTGGGTATTTGATGATCGACATTTTTTTTGTTAAATTCTAATTAAAAGATTTCTTCTCTTTTAATACAAAACAATAGAACAGAATATCCAGAAATTCTGCTACATCTGAAAGATTTGAAAATAACAACGAAAAAGAAACTTTTAAATGTAGCCGTCTCTTCTACTCCAATAGCTTCATACCTCGCACCTCTCGCCTGTGGAACAACCTTCCCAATTACTGTTTCCCTGAGAGCTATAATCTCCAACTATTCAAATGTAATGTCAATCGACATCTCCAGTTACCTTGATCTATCCACTATCCCTCTCCTCATCCTTTCTTCTATCACTCCTATCTGATCTTGCTCCAAATCTTCTGCAACCACCTGCATCTTAGTGGCTTCACGCCTTGTTCGAGGCATAATGCTTAAAATATATATATATATATATACATATATATCCAGTTACCTTGATCTATCCACTATCCCTCTCCTCATCCTTTCTTCTATCACTCCTATCTGCTCTCGCTCCAAATCTTCTGCAACCCCCTGCATCCTAGTGGCTTCACGCCTTGCTCGGGGCGTAATGCTTTAAAAAAAAATTAAAAAGATATTTGTAAGTGATCAATATTCAACTGGCAAATAGGAACATGAAGTTTAAATATAGTTTACCCCGAGATTCATACCACAATTTACATGGCAAATGTCCACATAACCTCCGCTCTTTATACCTACCAGTTCAGACCTTTACAGATAGGACACCGCCATATTATTCCTATAGAGTCGAATCGTCCTCATTTCCTCCGCGTTCCAAATATAAGAAGAAGGTTCTACTCCGTCAAGGTTTTTTTTTTCTCCAAAGAACTGACATTTTGTAAAACATTCTTCTGCGTTAGTGCTTCCCTGAAGAATTCAATCATATACCTTTCAAGTTAAGGGACAATCGTTATCTTTCCTCCTTATCCTCATAATCTTCACTCCCTACTCTACCACCTACACCTCCAATCATTTCACACGCACCGTATTCACCCATTTCGACTCTAAATTTCTACCTTTTAATGAAGGGGACGTCTCGGCTCAATGAAAAACGATTATAGACCAAAGAACATCACGAGACTTGAATATTTCGCATATATCTTTCATTTTATTCACTCCATCAATTCGTCGGTTTCTCTCGGCAAGTGTGTGTGAAGCGACTCAAAGAGCCCCTGGTCGGATACGTGGATCTTACACTCTGTGTGTGATGTCTGAGAAATTGCTCAAATCTCCTCTGACCAACGGTTATTCTCACACGCGCACATATGCAGCGCAGTCAGGCCACAAATGTTTACTTCTGCAGTCACCACTGACAGCGGGTTAATCGCAGATTTCCCCGCGCCCATCAGCTAGAGTCATCTCAATTTATACCTGCACTTGCATTCTATCGACTGTCGGGTGGGTGAAATTTAAGTCTATTCGGGGATAATGCCACGCCATTAGAGGCTCTTTATTCTTATATTAGGTGAGAATTTAGCATAAAGAATTCTATCAGGAAAGTGCTCCCCATTGCAATTTACTAAGTGAAGCATAGATGCGACACAAGGCCACGAGTATAGAGAACCCAGTGAAGATCGAATTCACTAATCAGTTGTAGCTGATTTTGCGTGACATATTTGCTAATCAAGTCGAAGTGCCCTAATACTAACCATCGTCTTCCAAAAACTGTAGAAAAACGTTCCCATTTTCTTTGAACAATTAGTTCACATGTATTTTAATACACACACCGACTAAATTATATGCACGAATAAATCATGGCGATTTGAGATATCTCGAATAAACGGCTCCCCCGAACAAGCGCTACTTTGTCAAGAATTAACTTTTGAATAAGTGGCTCCATAATAGGGAAAATGTGTTTTTAATTTCAAATTAGCGCCCTCTTTCAAATGTGTATAATCCTCTCTTTCGTTTATTTTATTCCAACTTTCCATGAATTAAATTGAGAATTGACTCAGCCTCATTAGTACTTCCAAAAACTTAATTTAATTCTATTCACAAAATCAATTAAATGCGGAATGAGAAGTTTAAACAAATCCGTGAGGAGCAAATTTAATCCTCATGGGTCATTTAAGGCTGAAATTTAATTTTCTTGGGAGTTTTGAAGTAATAAAAATATATCATTCTGCTTTCACAATTGAATTCCTTGTAGATGTATTTTGTACATATACATGTTTGTGTTGACAGAATTACTAGAGGCGATCATGTGTGTTTTATGTTATTGCTTTGTATATTTGTATAAATTGTAGGATATTATATGAATAATGTCATGAAAGAGTTTTTTTATGTTGGTTGATTTTGTTTAGCGGCATATCAATCTCTATGTGTTATTTAATGCCGAAATCTAAATATGCCTACAACTACAGATGTATTGCTGGTCATCTTACTATAAATATGTATTGTTGGTAATTTTTTATATAAAAATGTATTGTTGGTATTTTTACTATAAAAATGTATTTTCATACTTTCATAGTATATTTACTTTTCTTTGGGTGTTCACTATTTGCCCATAGCTGGAACCCTAACAGGTGCTACCACCCCGGGTCAGAGTGAACCTGGGAACAACAGCAATTAAGAGGTGGTTTCCGCTCCACAAAACATCTAATCTTCTTATCAAAGGCTGTGCTGCTGGATGTAGTTTATCGTCATACCCAGAACTAACCGAGATAGATGACTGATTAGTAATACCAGGTGCTGTAAGCTTGAATGTGTGGTTGGTTTAACGGATAATAGCTCGGAATGGTTAATCGGAGAGCAGAGTTCTAATTCCAGTTGGGTTCGTTATATTCACTTAAACGCAAATACCCTTGGGAAATGGTATGAATTCACTTTTATTCCCATACATGGCAATGAATACGGGACAATTCCCTCGCAGCTGAAGAAGGAATTTGAAATATCAGATTTGTGGTTCTAAAAAATGGTAATGGTAATATTGGCCGTTTCCCTATATGGAAACATTTTGTATTCATTGACCGAGCAGCCATTTCGGTTGAAAATTATTAAAAAAAAATACCTCATAATACAATTTCTTAGGAGAACAGGCTTCTTAATTCCAATAGCTGTTATGGCTCCTTCCAGTATTAAATAGGGGTTTCCCTCCTAACCTTTTATTCGAAGTGGTGTTGAATAGTAATATTTTGATTATATAATTTTTTTCTTTGAGCTACATGTTCTATCCATTTTAGTTGTTACTGCTGTTGATAGTTCTCAAGTATGATGGGAATACCATGGGCTGGGTATGATTGGACGCGGCATTGAAGGTCCGGTAGGGAGAACGAAGTACATTCCTTTGTTTCGCCAGGTCTAACCTTTACGGCTAGGAACCGCCATGCAATTTACATAGAAGCAAACCACGAACATTCCCTCCGTATTCGATCGACGAGAAGTAAGTTCCACTCAAACAGCTTCTTCTCGCGAACCAATGCTCTCTGAAACAGGCTCCCAAGAGGAAGTTCCCCCGATCACTACTTAACCTGTTCAATATTAGAATTAACCGTTATCTTCCCCTCCTATCCATGTAAACGTAATTTAACGTAAACCTTTAACTTGAGTGGTCCTAGGGCTTTGCACAGGTTGAACCTTACTGGAAAAAAAAAGAAGGAGAAGAAGAATTCTCATTATCTGGGAATAGCCTTTCAATTGAGAACAGGCAGCACACACTTCTCTGTGTTCAGTGATAAGCAAGCAAATAATTTTGCCAACGTCGTTTAGCTGCAAAGCAAACGAAGTGTGGCTGACCACCAACAACGGTTCAGATTTTTAGTCGAGTGCCAACAACTAATCCCGATGAGACAGAATGCCAACGAATGACACTTTAGGGGCTAATAATTAACTCGAAAGAAGCCGCGTGTCAATCCGTAATCCTTACGAGAGAAAATAACACGGAAAATAAACTGACGCTGAGCCAGCAGCTAATAATAATTTTCATTTTGAAAATCAAAAGAATTTTATTAGAGGGAGAATGGCGGGAGGCTATTTCAAAAGTACACTCTATTCTTCTTTTTGTCTTATTTTAACATGCACATTACTGATTATCAGACAGATTTAAATATTAATCACATTCTGACAGCCCATCGATAGTCGATGACAACGCTCTTAACTGAGTTTCTTGAAACGTGTTTGAGAGAAGGAAAGCTCTTTTTAAATCATGGCTTACGACCATAGCACATTGAAACACCGGTTCCCGTACAATCACCGAAGTTAAGCAACGTCGAACCTAGTCAGATGGATGGGAGCTCGCTTGGGAATACTAGGTGCTGTAAGTTTGGATGTGCGGGTGGTGTAATGGATAATGGCTCGGAAGTGTTAATCGGAGAGCCGAGTTCCTATTCCAGCTGGGTTCGTAAATACGCTTGGAAAAGGTATGAATTCACTTCTCCATCCAGCTATGGGTTAATTAGTAAGACTTGTATCGCTAAATCTCCCTCAAAAAGTTCTTACATTCTAAAACTATTTTCTGGCTTTAAATAACCTACAAAGTGCAGAAAACGAATCAATCGATCATTTTTTTCATCATGCTGCACTGCGCGTATAATAAAATATCTCTGTTCTTATCGATCTATCTATCAGTCTGTTCATATCTATGTCAGCCTGCTCATCTCTCTCTCTCTCTCTCTCTCTATATATATATATATATATATATATATATATATATATATATATATATATATATTTTTATATATATAAACAGTCTTTTAAATTAACACTATATATATATATATACATATATATATATATATATATAGTGTTAATTTTAAAGACTGTTTTTGAAGTTAAAATGGCTGGTTTTCAGTGGTTTGCTAATAGGCATTTAATCAATTGTGACAGAGAGCTCAATATCGGAGATAGAGATAGAGCGTTAATAGAATTAATATGAAAAAGTTTTTCACTTAATTGATGCTTGCTTCGAAGATTCGTGGCCACATAGATGTGACTACTCGTCGGAGGCTAATTTGGACTGCTGATATATCTCGATTTTTTGTACTTATATATTGTGGTATGAGTGTGTTATTTTTATTTTTCGCTTGATCGGTGTTGATTGGTTGTTAACTTCTCTTCTTCTCCGTTTCTTTCTTTTATTTTTTATTCTTTATTCTTTCTTCACCTTCTCCGTTGATCTCTGGTTCATTGCTAATCTTTCGTACTGATTTTTTTTTCGTGGTTTATTGTTTTGACCATTTAATTTAGGTTACGGTTGGATATTTGTATGTGTATGTATGTCTGTGCATGGGTGTGTTTATGCGTGTCTATGTATGTACATGCATGCATGTGTACAGACATACAAACATGTACGCGTCTGACTGTTTATTTGGGTTTGTTTGTGTGTTTATGTGTGTACCTTTGTACGTTCGCGCTCCTATACACGTAGTTCTGGGTATTAACTGTATATGTATTTTTACTAGGTTGTATTATTTATCTTGGTGTATACTGTATATTATTTTCTCGTTTCGTTCCATGTGTTTTGTGTGGTTAGGTGTTATTTTATTGGTTATTATTCATTTTGTTGTGGGTGTTGTGGAAAACGTGTGTTTGTTTTTGCGCTTTGTAAGTGATGTAGTAGTGGTGATTTGTATGTTGTGTTTGTGTGTTTTGCATGGTTTGGTTTTAATTTATTAGTTATTATTTTGTTGGTATTGTGGTTACTCTTTTTTGTTTTGACCATTTAATTTGGGTCACGGTTGGATTTTTGTGCGGGTGTGTGTTTAAGTGTGTGCCCATGTGTATGTATGTCTGCATGCACACGTATATACAAGCATGTGTACATACATACACCCACACGTGTATGCTTGTGTGCTCATGTGTGCGCGTGTGTGAATTTTTGTTTTTGTGTGTCTATGTGTGTGCGTTTGTACATTCGCGTCCCTATATGCGTAGTTCTTAGTATTAACTGTATGTATATCTTTAGTAGGTTGTGTTATTTATCTTTACTCAGTGTGTGCTTGGTGTATATTGTATATTGTTTTCTCGTTTTTTTAAATTGTTTTTTCTATTTTCGCTTTTTGTTTAGCGTGTGTGTGTTTTGCGTTTTGTAAACAGTTTAGTTGTAGTAATTTGCGTGTGTTTTATGTGGTTGGTATTATTTTATTGGTTATTATTTTTGTTGATGTCGTTCTTGTTGTGAAAAATGTGTATGTTTTTGCATTTTGTAAAGTGTGTAGTTGTGGCGATTTGTGTGTTGAGTTTGTGTATATTTTGTATGGTTGTGTATTATTCAGTTGGTTATTATTTGTTGATATTGTGGTTACTCTTTTCTGGATGGATTGTGTTTGGGATTGGTATGGATTAGATGTTAGATACGGTTATTTGAGTTTGTGATGGGATTGTGTTGTGTTTTGTACTACTTTCTTTGATTTATATTAATATTTAGGTAGCAAAGCAGATGCTTGTTTAAATGCCTACATTTTCCCATTATTTAATTCCTCTTGTTTAGTAAGCTGTCTTGATTCTTAAAAGTGATGATTGTTCATTTTTCCTCCACAATGTACAGTTTCTACTATTGCTATTGTGTAAAGATGCTTTTATTTTTATAATTTCCCATTTGATTTTGGTAATGATGCTATTTTGCTTTTGGCTCCATGTGAATTCTGATTATGTTGTCTTGTTTTTGTATTTTTCTGTTTTAAATGATGCTTTATGATTATTAATTCTTTTTAAAAGTTGTTTCTGTAGCCCCTATGTAAGTTTTTTTTTTCCGTGTTCATGTTGTTTGTTACAGTGGTTTTATATATTATGTTGTTGGATAGGCATTTGCTGTTAAGTGAGCAATTCGTTTTATTTCAGCAATTGCATTTGTTGTTGTTGTTTTACTGATTTATGTCGTTGTGGTTATTATTGTCGTTGTTGGTATTTCTTATTGTGTTTGATTATTATTTTTCCATGTTATATATATATATATATCCACACATATATGCGCGCATGTGTTTGAGAGAAGGAGAGATAGGTATATCTAAGCCCTTTTTAAATCATTGTTTCGCTGCTCGCATAATAAATGCGTGTAAAATTTTCTTACAAATGAAGCACATCAAGAAATTGTTTCTTCTTTTTTCCTCTTGTTATATTTATAATTTCTGATTGCCTTTGACATTCCAATCATTTCTTTCTGATCTATCTTAATTGATACGACCGTATTTCGTAGTTTCCAAGTTAAATGTAAAGTAGCCTTAAGCTAAAAATATATCTACTAACCTGGGAGTTTTCTTTTTCAAGATTCTTTTCTAACTATCTGATTCTGTAATCGCGGTGTCATGTTACCAATTATATATTGAGTAGCCTTGGTAGTATCGGGCCATCGAAACAGATAACAACAAAACATTTATAATGGAAAAAGAAGAAATAACTAGATAAAGACAACTAGGGAGATATTGGGAGAACGCAAATTGAGTTTTTCAATCCTTTAAAAGAAGAATATACAAAGCATAGAAATGTGTTACAGGACTTCTCTCCGATCCTGAAATGGAAAGCTAGTGGATACTGTAAAATGTTGTCACTACTAATAAGTCAAGAGCACTTCAGGTTGCAAAAGACTGCCTTTATTCAAGTCAGGGGTATATGTTTTCTTTCTGGTTGCTACGAAAAACACAATTCATCCGAACACCACCGATTGTTAAAGTTCATATTCACGAATAAAATTTTCTATGAAAGTACATTAAAAATTATTTTGTTATAATATTGCATTGAATACTATTACGAGTAGAATTTACTATAGAAATACATTGCAAATTATTTTATTATAAAATTGCATTGAGTATTATTACGAGTAGAATTTACTAAGAAAATACACTGCAAATGAACAGAGAATAAGATACAGACCAAAGGTCATACAGAGAAAGAAAAACTAAAGTCAGGCAAGTTATCAGACAATATGAAGATTTTCTAAGCACAGTGAAGTGATGCAAACGGAAAAGGTACAAACCCAGTTTGCAAAGCTCAGATCAAGCAGATTGAAGGACGGCGAGTAGCGAAAGAGATGGGTGGATAATATCACCAAATGGACAGACGTGGGATAAAGCAATGCCAAAAGAGATTGTTGATTGATTGACTGGTTTTTCACAGCTTGCCAAACATTTGTGGGTTTTTCAAAGTCGAAATATATTTCGGATTGTAGGAGATTGCTTTCAGTACCCGGTGTCTTCAAGCTGTTCCCCATATAAGTAATGACCGAGCTCAACGCTGCTTAACTTCGGTGACCGAACGAGAACAGGTGTTTTCATCTACCCAAAGAAAATCCCAGAACAGAGAGGGTTGGGTAGATTTAGTTGATTGATAAGTCATTTCTGGCACCTCCATGTTTACGAAGACTATGAAACTATGGACGTTATAGAAATATATCGCAAAGCAGTTAAAAGGGTTAGTTTGGGTGATTTTACGATCCCTTGTTGGATTATTTAATGTTGAAATGTGACTTTAATTAAATTTGAGTATATAGGTAAATATAGGTTGTCTTTATACTTCAGACTATTGGTAAACACAGGTCGTGTACTTACTTAAGTCTATAGGTAACAAATTCAACTATTAAACTAAAAGAGGTAAACATGGATCGCAGGTCGTGTACCTACTTGAGTCTATAGATAACAGACTCATGTATTAATCTAAAAGAGGTAAAGATGTCGTGTTTATACTTGAGTCTGTAGGCAAACATCGGTGGTGGTTATACTTGAGTCAGTAGGTAAACAAAAGTCGTGTTTATACTCGAGTCTAAAGGTAAACATTGGCCATGTTTATATTTTTGCCTATAGAGAGACCTTGTTCGGATTTATACCTGAGTCTATATGGCAAACATTGGTCGTGTTTATATTTGAATGTGTTCGTACACATGGGTCGTGTTTATAATTAAGTCTATCAGTAAACATTGATAGGGCGTACATGTGTGTCTATTGGTAAACATTAAATGAGTCTGTAGATAAACATTGATCGGGCTTATACTTGAGCCTATAGGTAAACATGAATCATGTTCATATTTGAGTTTTTCACAGAAGATTTGTCGGCTTTATACCTGAGTCTATAGGTAAACATTGGTCATGTACGTTCGTGATTTCATAGAAATATGATCTTGTCTATACTTAAATATATGGGTAAACACTGGTTGCGTTTATACTTGAGGCTATAGGTAAATATTGATCGTATTTATACTTGAATCTGCACTCATCCACCCGAAATTTCGCCTCTTTTGTGGGCGTTTTCGTACCTCTGTATCGAATACAGTACTCGTATGCTCGGCTCTGCATCAACAGGAGAAATAGGTAAAAGGATATTGGCACTTGTC